CTCTTTCTTTTCAAGTACTTAGCTTGTGCACACTAAATGTACTAATATTTGATCACAAATTGAAGAGGAACATGAACTCCTTCCACTGGTGCTGTCCCTCTCTGCTGTTCTGTTACAACATATTGTGACTGTGAATTAGTCTATTCTCTACAATTCTGAGTTTTGTTAAGCACACTGGGAAGTTATTTTCAGTCTGTTTTGTGGAGACCTTTGGACTCTTTATGGAAAGCAAGCATGGAGCAGTCTCTCCAGTGTTACAAATCTACATTTACTCACACCTAAAAGTGAAACTGCACATGCACAATGCAGATTTTCAGGACTGGTTCTAAATTGCCTTTGAAAATGACACACTGTATGATCTACAGGAGCTCATAAAATTACCTTGTTCATATTGCCACTTTGTCTTGGGGAAAAAAATCTTTTCCATTTGTTTTATTTCCTTTCTGATACGGATTTTTTCAAGTTCCATGATTGGATTCCATTGAACGTGATTTGCTACATCTTAATCAGTGTAGGTAGACAACTGAATGATTTAGCATCCTAAAAGAGATTTGTGTGAGTCATTGCATCAAAAACATTAGTACAGTAGTGAAAATTGTTTAACAGATTGTTACTCCTACAGAATCAGTGCTGAGAGCAGGAAACGTGGCATGCTGATTACTTTTTCTCCTCCTGTTGAAAGAGTCCATGACTCTATAACCTGCTGTGATGATAAAAGTGGTCTAATCATGGAGTCACAATGCTTGTAGTGGTTGAAAGGAGCAAGGTTAAAAGACATTTCAAGGACTGCAGGAACTTTTTACCTGATAGAGTAAATTGTATTCCCCTTGGACATACACCACACTCAAGGGAGCGTGCCTCAAGTGATTTTTGTTTTACTTAGTTTTGGCTATAGGACATAGTACAGAAGGCACCAAGTGACTGGCAGTGCAAGCACTCAGCCTTCGACAGTGTATGCAGCACTGTCTCCGAGGTATTGTATCTTGTCCCTCAGCACTGTCTATTAAGTGGAGTTGACTGCCAGGCCTGTGCTCCAGCCGAGATTTTCGCAGTGCCAGCACAGTGACTTTGCATCATCCCCCGTATGTTATATAGATATAATCTATTTCCTGTAGCATCAGATTTAAATGAGTTGATGTCAGACTACTGGCTTTCTTTTGCATGCAGTTTTACCTGAGTGATTGTGTGTTCATCATTTATTCTAGCCCCAGAAAGCTTCCTCACTGAAATGCAAAATTGGTTTGAGGCAGATTCCATTACCTGTAGGTGTTAAATGGCACCTTACCCAAGTTTCATAAAATGCTTCATGCTGTGAGGATGTAGGGCAACAGGCATCCTCACATTTGCTTGTGAACATCGCAGCCGAGTCTCTGACCTGTGTTGGGTGAATTAGGTCTCATGGGAGTTGCTGGACCCAGGAGTCCACTCTGAGCTGGGGCTGAACGCAGCTCCATGGACAGGGCCTGAGTGTCAACTCTGAATCCATCTCAAAATAACCTTAAGTTTATGTAGGGCTGGTAGAACTGATCAGTCTCTTTTTGTTTTGTTCTGTTTTGTTTTTTAATGTGAGCAGTTTCCTTAAATTTCTGTGCAAGTATCTTCTTACAAGGTCTTTACCATGCATTAATCATTAAATTACTGGGGTAAATCCCTCAAAATACTATTGATTTTCTATCATCCTTGATTTTTTTAATCTAGGTAATGGTAAGAGGTCCTTTATAACTGAATAAGCTATTACCTTTTTTAAAAAGATATGGTAAACTCCTGTTCTTATCCTGGTGACTTTCACCTCTTTGTTTACTTTAAAACACAGTCACCCATGTAATTAGAATATATAACATTCTGTCCTAGATCTGAATCCACAAAGCAGAGCTTCCTAAACTGTTTTTTCTTTAGAATTGCCACAGAAAAATACCTTTGAAAATGCTTTTAGTGCTGAAAAAGATTTCAGCACCTGTTTCATTATAGACATTGCACAGTTGCAGTATTTTGAGTCTTACTAAGCTCTGACTTGAAAGATTTAAAACACATAAAAGAACCCAGACACAAAGGGCCAATTAATTCCTGGTGTATCCATATGCAGTGAAAGGAGCTACCACAGGCGTGACGTGAACTCCATGGGGATTTTCTGTGTAAAAAAGCTGCAAGGATTTGAAAATGGATTTTTTTCCCTTTCATTGGGATTTTCTTGCAAACATTGACAGAATATGTAGACCTCATTGCAAAACACAGTATCCTGTGTTTATTTCATGTGTTATATGTAGATTAATGCTGCTTAAAGCCAAAGCTCAGTTGGTGATTCAGAGTATGGATACTGATCAAGAAAACCTCTAAAAGGCTTTAGAAAAACAGAGAAGTAAAGAAAAATGTATAGCTTATATGTGCGGATATACATCTAAGGGTATAAAGCAGGCTGGTGTATAGCAGGAAAAAAGCATGCTTTCTAACTCCTGAAACTCAAGGAACACAGGCTAAACAGTACGTATATTAAATGAGTATTTAGAAATTGATATATTTTAGTTTCATTGTTATGATTATGTGACCAAGTCTTCCCTTCATCCAGTATGATTTTTTTTTTATGTGTGAGTTTTATTTATAGTGTTAAACACTTTGACAGATTACTTTTGGGTAGTTTTTTTTGTTATTGTTTTCCTTCTTGATTTGTTTTCCTTAGTTGATTTGTTGTGCATTAGAGGTGGAGGCTGGGGCATGGAAAGAAGCCACTGTGGGAATATAATATCCAATGGTTAAAGCCACAGTTTCATTAGAAACTACTCTTTCTGTGTAAACAGGGAAAAAAAATTTCCACATAAATTCTCACCCAAAAAACCTCCCTGAGATTATTATCTGGAAAAATAAAAATTGGAAATGAAGCCAAAAAATTTTAGGTATATGCATAACTGGACCAAAGAAAATTTTTTTGGTGTTTCATTACCTTCCTTCTCCCAAACAGTGAAATCTGAAGATATTACTAGATGGTATATGCAAAAAGCAAATAATCAACGCCTGGTTTCTGTTTGACTGTGCTTTCTAATTTGTTTTTGGAGATAGTGTTTACTTAATTATTAACAATTTTGTAAGTATATTAAAAATAGTTTTACCTGGCTGTTTATTAATATTCTTAATTTCCATATAGAGAGTGAAATCTGCATAAGAGAATTCCAGAAACCTTTATGTCTAACTGGTCACTACTCTATGTTAACTACATTTTTAAATGTAGCTAAGGGGCTCACATTACTCTATAGAAGAACTGTCCTCTTACAAATATAATGTACCTTTTTTTTTCCTCTGGAAACCTGGAATTGAGGAAAACAAGATTTCCCAAGACTGTAAAAAGGCCTGAATATCTTCTAATTTATACCTGGCTAAAATCCTGATGTGAGTCCATTCTCCCCATTGCAATTGCAGATGTTCCTGACTTTTCCTGGTTTATGTGAGAGATGTCCTGTAAGACATCTGATCTTTTATAGGTAGCTTCCCCTCTCTCAGTGGGTCTAAACCTCTGAAATTCCAGTTGTTATTCTAAAGTTGTATGAGTGTTTATTAATTTCTTAAGGGGAGAACTATGGTAAAACTACACTAAAATTTCTTTTGCCTCAAGAAGAAAAATATCAGAAGCCCAGCTATTTCAGAAGAGTAGCAAAAACAGCTAGACTCTCTCAAAAAAATGGCAACAAAATTCTTTCTCCACTTTCCCATTGTGTACACAGTAAGACTGAAACACTGAAATTGATCACCTTACATCCTTAATATAGTCTAGATTATATTACCAAACAGGAGAAAATCTTGAGACCACACCGTAAAGAACAAAAGGGTTAAAGTATTTGGACAGCAGACACCTAATTTGTCTCTGACTCCCCATATTCCTGTACTGTTGCTACTATCCCACACAGTAAGTAGTGGACCGGGTCAGGTCCGCCAACTGATGAGCTGAGATAAGGTTCATCTGGAGGAGGCAAGTGGTAATGTAGTTTAATGTATTATTTACATCGTCCCAGTTGTTTTCTCTCTGGTATTTCCATTCATCTCCTTTTACCTCGCATCTGCCTGCACCTTCACACAATTCTCGCAGTATGACAGGTCTTCGTTAAGCTTCATTTGGTGCAAAAGTTACAGACTTCAGATGCCTATCAGCAAGAGGGTGGGAGTGCAGTTGCCACAAATTGCTTCATGATTGACTTCATTGCAGGGACGAGGCTGACAAAGCCAGCACCGTTTGATCTGAAGATCACATTCTGAATTTCGTGAGAATATAGTTGTCTTTCTTATATCATAGATGGATAAAGAAGGTAAAATAAAGCTTGTCAGAATATTGCTGAACTCTCCTTATCTTCATTTTATACTTCAGGGTGTTGTGGTCAACTCAGACAAGTACACAGGGAATGTTCATATCCATTGATAGCCATTGATATTTTGCTATTGACTATTTTGGGATTAGCATTTCAACCATGCTCTTTAGATGTAGGAATTTTCAGTGAGAATCAAGGAACGGTCTATTTGTTTGCTTTACAGAGCATCCATATATTTTCACTTTCACAAAGAAATTTAACCTGAAGTTAACGAAGGGTCTTTTGTATGGGATTGCAAAACGGCTCCTAATACAACAGAAGATTCAGCCTTTGGCAAATCACAGCACTGTTGCATTTACTTTTTAGGAAATAAATATATAGCTGTAATCCTACGTACTAGTAATATGCTACATCTCAGTAACATGCCAGCAGAAGCCTATATATCAATAATACATATGTTTGCATGTACATCTACACATGAAGACATAAACATAGTACAGGTTTTGATTAAATTTTTATCATTTATTTATGTGCATCTGTAAATGAAATGAATGAAATATAAAAGGAATTAATGCAAATGTAAAGATAATAATTTAAATGCTAAAGCTACATTTTTCCTTTCTGTCATTTAAAAAAAAAAGAATCAAAGCACTCTAGAAGCACATCTGTGTCTCTCAGATGGTTAGTGATAACATTGCATTGTTATTTCAGATAAACCTGCAGAAGAAGATGCGAGTCACTGGAGTTATAACTCAAGGTGCCAAGAGGATTGGCAGTCCAGAATATGTAAAATCTTACAAAATTGCATACAGTAATGATGGGAAGTCATGGACAATGTACAAAGTAAAAGGCACAAATGAAGATATGGTAAGATAAAGTCATCTGTATATGAATATGTCTTATGATTTAGCTGCCTTCAGAAGTATGAGGTATTTCTAGTAGATAAGTGTAATTGCCTGACAATGTGATATAGGTTGCCTTGTTATTATTTTCCTCTGGAAAAAAAGTCAATAACCTTGCACTTTCTGTCTGCTATGAATTTCTTATGCTTCAATTGATGGTTGTATAAATACTGTGTCCCAAGGCTAGCATAATCCTGTTTATTACACTTAACTGATTTTCATTTTAATTAGTTTACCAGTAATTACTCATTATTCTGTTTTCAATTTAGTTTTATTACATTGGCAGATTAGTATTAACCCTTAAAAGCATAGAACCCATTCATCAATGCTAATCTCTGTACTGCTCAAACAGTATCCAGTGGGATGTGTTTACAGTTCATAGTTACCACTTTCTTTTTATAGAGTTGTGCATACAAAGCAGCAAAAATCCCTTTACTGTGTAAGTTAAGATGGAACTAAGGCACTTTGCAGCATTAGACATAGTTTCTCTATTAGGAAATTAAAATGCCATGTGAAGAGGTATATAATGAGGGAAGAAAACAAAGTACATGCATATCTGGTTAGAGTAAGGAGCGAATAGGAGTGAACACTTATATGTTTATTTCAGTTCCACCTGCGATCAGTGGGAGGGTTACAGTGCACTTCAGTGGGAGTTGGATCAGGTTCTTGAAGACAAGGGAGAAAAATAAATGTCAATCAGTATAAATAATTGCAGGCTAAATTGAATTGGGACTTTTTAATACACTAATTAGAAAAGAATATATAATTTAGCTGCATTGGTAGCTTCAGTATCTAGGAGTGACAAGATAGAGGTCCTGATTCAGCGCAGGTAGCAAACGCATGCTGATGAAAGCCGGTGAGACAAAGTTGGATGTTTGGCACTAGAAATGATAAAACGGACATTATTTGGGAAAAAACTTGCAGGGAAATGTACAGGAAAGGCCAGAAGAACAACGCAGATATTTTTGAGACATAGAAATCAGCTGAACCTCCAGTAATCCTCCTGGGACGTATTTATGAATATGTCATTTTATCACAGGTGTTTCGTGGCAACGTGGACAACAACACCCCATATGCGAACTCCTTCACCCCTCCGATCAAGTCACAGTACATACGGCTGTATCCTCAGGTGTGCAGAAGACACTGCACGTTGAGGATGGAACTTCTCGGCTGTGAACTGTCAGGTGGGTTTTCTGCAATCGCCACATCTCAGAAGGTCAACCATCAAGAAGCATGCTTTTGTGCCCAAGGTCTGAGCCTCATGCAGTTTATTCCTGGTGAAATGCAGCTGGCAGGCATGAGTTTATCCAGACAGTTACTTATCTCTTTTTGTGTAAATTACATAAGCAGTAACACTTACCAAAATGATGTGACAATAGCTGCTTGCAGTAGGGCAGTAATAGTAGTAGAATAATGTGGTAGCAACCTAATAACACTTCATAAATCTTTCTGTGCACATTGTCTGCCAATTACGTGCAACCTAGAAAAGGTCATTTATAGCAGTTTCAGTAAGTATCAACAGCTATCAAGACCCATTATGTTACATAGTAAGCAGACCATGAGACAGAGAGCCTCTAGCTCACAGTTAACACTCAGCACAGCGTACACTAAACGCTGAAGATGGTTTCAGGGAGACGAATCTGTCTGTGCAGTGCTTTGCAGCAGAGTCACGGCAAAAGCAGGCATCAAAGCCGATCTGAGTAATTTCTCCTGGCTGGTGGGTGACCACGCTGATGTGCTGCGTGACATTCTCAGAGGGACAAGAGTGCTTCAGCTGCCATCGAGAACCACTCAAAGTGCAGTAAGATATATTTTGCTGGGCTGCTTTACTCAAGATTTCAGTTCAGATTTGTTTTGCGGATTTCTAGCAGAAGCAGGGACTGCATCTTGCAGCAAAAAGTAAATGAACAAGTGGAGCCAATATAAACCCTCTTAAGGTTTGTAGTAGCAGAAGTTATAGCTCATAAATGTAAAGCCTGACCTCTAGCCACTCTCTGCAAGAACGATGTTCCCTTAAAAATTCTGTAAAGCATGTAAATTTTTTACCTTTTTCAAGCGATCAACTTTTCACCAGTGGGAGCACTCCACTGAATTCATTTAAGAATGATTTTATGTGGCTGCCTGCTTACTGTACAAACAATAGTCATCCAGTTCACAAATGATATATCAAAACAGCTGGAGTTAAATAATTCTCAGTCATCTAGTGGCATCAAAACCAGATTCAGAAATGAAAAGTTAATGCATTAATCTCACTGTAGCCTTTTTCCAATATAGAAAGGTTTGAGAATAAATAGAAAATTCTGTCCAGCTGCTTTAGTCTATTAGATTTTTTTTTTATGTCTTCCATTTCTGGGACCACAATTTAGAGTAAGTCCTTGCCAGAATGACCAGGAATTGTTTTGCTCAAAGAACTGTGAAAGCTACTGAAGTGAATTCATTTCAGTGGTCTCCTAACAGTTTCAAGGTCATCATTTCTTACAACTGCAGGCAGCCAAGGCTCAGCAGAACAACTTCAGTCTTGCTGAAATAAGAGTTTAATTATACATACCGACAAACTAATTCACTGAAATTCCAGGTGTTTTTGTTTTAGGCAGAAAAACACTTTGAGAGGTCTGCTTCTGTAACAAGTTCTGGTGCTAGAGAAGAGAGTCACTACTGAAGGGAGGAATACTGTCTCACAGCACCAGATCATCATAAAAACTAATTCTTTCTTAGGGCAAACTTCAGCAAAATGTTTGATATAATCTGCTCTAGGTTCATAAGTAGCTTTACTTACCAGAAGCCATGGTCAGATCGTATGGAAAACCATGATCAATTCTTGTGGAGTTTGACATCAATAAATCAGGCATTAATTTTCATGGCCTTGTGTACCTGCTTTACTTGTGTTTTGCACATCTCTGTGTTGTAAATTCCCTTCGTTTCATAGATTATTGATGTGGAGGGAGAAACAGATCACAGCTACTGTTTATTAGAATGCCTTTGTTCATTAAGCTATTATTAATAGTAGCATCAAGCTGTTGTTTTTAAAAGCAGATAACTGTTCGCACAACACAGTCACTCAGGCATTGACTCACACACTCAGACATCTGCATACAGCAGGCTCTGCCTTCTTTCATGCGGTCTATCTCGTACCTTGTTGATGCTCATGTGTGTTGATGGCTGTGTACCAGTTCAGCATCTCTTGCTGTTCTGAGTTTGTCAGTTCTTGCAGAGGGATGCTGGTTCGCAGAACTTAACCATCTTTGTGAAACTCATAGTGTCTTCCAAGCACGTGATTCTTCTCTTTTTGGCATATTGTTCTCTGGTAGCTATTTCTCTATCCTAACTACCTGCAGGTACCATTCACACAAACTCACACACAAGGGGACTTTGTAACATCTGCATTTAATGCTAGATTCCCCTCCCCTTGTCCATATTCAGCACTATCTAATCTGGAAAGGAATCCTGTGTTCATTAACAGGAAGAAAATTTTTTAAATGTCTCAATTTTCAGAAAAGAAAAATATCACAGTGTTAATCAAAACAAAATCACCTTTGTCCTCAAATAAATGACCTGTGCTGCTTTTGCTAAGACAAGATGCATGTAGACCTTTGCATGCAGATCCATTTGTGGTTTTGTTTCCACTGCACTGGACATTTACTATTTCCTTTGCGGATATGAGCTTTCTTGAAAGAATAGGTAGATGAGGGGCATGGTACAGGACACAGAATGAAGACTAAAATATTGTGCACTCAGAAGAGTCAACAGAGAATAACCTTCATATGGATTCTTTCAACTTTCAGATGCTAATCCATGCTCATCCGCATTATCTCACTGCCCCTGTTTCATTAAGCTAGACCAAATAAGAAGTAACTGCAAATTTCTACCTAGAAAAGTTTAAACCTACAGAGTTATCAGATATCATTTATCATATCGATGGGGATATCCAAAGCACCTCAAACATTTTGGCCTAAGATGCTCCAATGAGCATAGTTGTGAATATGTGTATGTTAGCTCTCACTAACTTTAGCAGGTTGTAAAAATGAGGTGGGAGATTGAATTTTTTCACACGGACATTGCAAACAGAATTTTAAAAAGATACAGTGCAGTGAAGAGATGTCCCGGGGAGTCATGGGCATTGTTATAAATACACCTCAGTGCAGGATGACTGTCTACAGACACAAAGTTTTGTACTAGTTTGATGATTCAGTCCTTTGCACTTTAGGTTATAGCTTGCACATCAGAATAAACAGTCGTTATCTTCTGTCATTGCAGCAGGGTGCCATAGGAGCTAGAAAGCAACTGGGTCTGCTATTGCTGTCTGTGACACATTACTGAGACATTGTTCTGCCACCTGTGTGCATCATGTTCGTCTCTTCTTGTTCTCATTGTTCTGCTCACTTTCTCCCGTTAACTTTAATAACTGTCTTCCTTCTCCCTTTGGGGCAGTGGAGAAGGAAGGTGAGTTAATGCATGCACGCATGCACGGACACACAGGCAGACACCTCTGTTGTTTCATAAATCTGTAATAATACTCAGAAAAGACAGAACTGTTTTTGATGGATTGGGCCAGCACTGAACAACAGTTTTGACAACCCATGTATTTGTGTCAGGAACCTCCTTCAGATTCTTCGGATGAAACATT